AAGTATGAATATAAAACAAAGAATTAAAAGTATGTAAAGTATGAAAATGTAAAAAAGGGTGTTAAGAACACTAAAATGCATGCAAGAATAACATAATTAAAAATGATTAAAAACTCTCGCACGAAATGAGCTTGACAATGACCGAAGTTCGATCGAAACGTGGCGCGCTTTTACCGTGGCAGATTTTACTTCATCTCAAAATTAGCACCGATTATTAGGACGGGGCAATTTCGCCCCCAAAAAATATTCTTTGAAGTGTTTTTTCCAATGGACAAGTGCATTTCCGATGTGTATCGTACTTCGAAAACCATCAAGGCAGCTACCTAATAAGAATCAGAAAATAGGTCCGCAATGCATCCGTGAGCGTAATCAATATTATTTTTATTCCAACCAGCCTGATTGCAATTTATTCTGCAACATGAGTAAAGAAGACCAGAAAAAGGTTCGCCAGGTGAGACATTTGCAATGTACAGTAACGTGAAAGAGCAAAGGAAGTGCAAAATTATCTTAAATACTAAAATGAATCGGTATTTTAAATAATAATAATAAAAAAACAGTATAATTGTGTCGTAGGAAATTGTGATGTTGATATTGGCTACAGATATGGCACGGCACAGTGAGATAGTGGAGCGGTTTAAGAGTAAACTGGACACCTTTGACTTTCACAACGATGATTACGTTAGCTCGGTGAGTAGGCAAATGAAATGAATACTTTCTTTCTTCAGTTTGTCATGTGCATGGGACAAGAAAAAATTCTGGTATCTATGGCAGCAGTAGAGAATCATTAATTATACACAAAACTCATTGGCCTGGGTTTCTTAAACTATTTTACTTTTCTGCTAACACGTATTTTTTTTTTCTTTTGCTGATTAGCTCAAGATGATTCTCATTAAGTGTTGTGACATTTCAAATGAAGTTCGACCGTTAGAAGTATCAGAGCCCTGGGCTGACTGTCTTCTCGAAGAGTACTTCATGCAGGTTAGAATGAAGTGTAACGTTAAATGAAAACACTCAAAGAGCGTTGAGAGAGTATCTGCTAAGTATTGTGAGAAAAATATAGAAAATCTGAAAAACAGACAATAAACCAATCAGATTTAGAAGCAAAAAGACGCAGTCGGCAACAAATGCCGAAAACTCAGCAGAGTCGTGATTGGTTTGAATTTACTCTTTCGATGAAGAATGAAGTCTTTCCTGTTTTACTTAGGGACGGACCATTATATTTTTGACTGGGCGGGCTGGAGTTGGGCAATTTTCTGGGGCATGAATTTTTTTTCTCATCCTTAGGTTGTGTATGAATTCTCTTTTGGTGGGCAATAGCTTGTGCAAGAATTTTTTAAAATCACAAATAGGACCTGGATAGCAGAGAAAACTGCTCGATTTTTTTCCCATGGCTCCCCTTGCACGATTTTTTTCAGCAATTTCTGCTGTGCAGAAATTCTTTTTTTTTTGGAAAAAAATAATGTTCCGTCCCTTGGATTTTATACAGCATGTTGCAAAGGGGTTTTTGGAAGCAATATGAAAGCCTTAAAATTATTTTAAGTTTAGTGAAGTCGACTAGCAAATTTGATTATTTGAAATCTTTTCCATACAATTGTTGGTCCTTAATCATGTCCACGAGTTTCGAAGGCGAGCGAGGAATCCTTGTGACATAAGCATTGCTTTTTTACTTGCAGAGCGATCGTGAGAAGTCTGAAGGACTTCCAGTGGCGCCTTTTATGGACCGTGATAAAGTCAGTAAACCAACTGCACAGATTGGCTTCATCAAGTTTGTGCTGATTCCTCTGTTCGAGCTGTTAAACAAGGTATTTATAATTATTGCAATCCGGACCGCGTTCTTAGCACTACCATGAAGCCTTTTCTGTTACGAACAAGCCAGTCCGTGGACCGCTGGCAGCCGGCCTTCTCTCTCAGGATTAGACGAGTGTTTTCCCTTGAACTCGAATGCACAGGGGCGGTATGGATGATAAGGGGATTGGGACGAGTGACACGAGAAAATGCCTCGCCTATGTCTCGTGCCAATCCCTTCTAGTCTGAAAGTCTTGCTTCATACTCTTTCTCATAGATCACTAGCATGGATCATAGCAATTTTTCATAGACAACTCTGTCCAAATTAACCTTACGCGGTGAAGCACCAACCCGTGAGACAAGGCCAGACCACAGCACCGGGAATTCCGCGCCCTATTCGTTGCGATAAGTGTGTGGGTTAAGTTCTCTTGCGACTCCTGCTAACAATGTAACACTGAAGATGCAGGAGACGGGGCCTACAGTTTATAGTCCTTATCCGACAAGACTTGAACGTCTAACCATTTGCAGACGTAACAACAAAGGCAGCACATTCTCCTCGGTCATCGGGAACTCCTATGTCAAAAGGTCGAGGATGTTCATTGTCATGCTTAGAGGTGTAAATCTTGGATTTTGGTCTCACTTAGGGTGTACAGGACAAAACTATTTTTAGCCGTCATTGTATTTTTAAGGGTTGCACTAATAAACGGAAAAAATGAACAAACGCTGTCATGCTTTTTAGAACTAAGATCTTTTAGGGATTAAACAAAGCTCGAGCCACGTCCATTGGTTTCCTCTAGGGGCTTACTCCAAATTTTCCTACCAGTATCCCCGACCTTTTCACACAGGAGCTCCCCTCTTCCCCGGGCTTCTCTCATCACCTTTCACTGCGCTACCTTTCATGGCCGTCTCAGTGCTTTGGTAAATGCTGACACGTTTGCCTTCTGTTTCCAGTTGTTTCCTCAAGTGGCCCCAGTTATGATAAAACCTCTCCGTGAAGCTTACGAAAACTACGAAAGAATGCGTTTAGAAGAAGAGGCGGTTAAGTCCGCCGCGGTCGACTCCCCTGAGACAAGCACGACCGAGAAAGGACTGAAAACCAGTTCAGATGTACAGATGTTTCGTGACAAGAAGGCGGCAAGTAAAATGGCCAATAAAGAACAAGAAAAACTGATTCATTCCTCCATCAAGAACCAGGTACTATTGTAAGACGGGTATTTTACATATATCATTGGTGGGAGAGACAATTGTGTGTGTGTCTGGAGGGGAGGGGAGAAAGGGAATTTAGGTGACCAGTTAAACTTCGTGCTACAGATACAAATACAGATTAATTTTTTCTTTTAATTTTTCTTTCTTTTCAGAAAGAGGCAGATGATGCCGAGCACACCCCATCTACTACTACCACTAGCCAGTTCAAGTTGTTAAAGGAATGATAAAAAGGAAGGATGACCAGCGGTCCTGTCCGCTTGCGCATGAGTGTTTTGTTCCGTACAGGGGCCGGCTGTGGGACTTACAAAAAAGTTTTTTCCTAAATTGTTTTAAAGGATCTGCGTCAAAGACGGTCAGCTTGACAAATTCTAAAAAGGGAAGGCATTTTCCGCAAAGGGATTTTCTAAATAATGTTCACCATTAAAAAGGGTCAGTGAAAATCATACTCTTTCATCTATTCGTACATTTTCTTATCACTTGTTATTGCATTGTCACCCTATTGGTTGTTGATTTGATCTGGTTATTAGTCAAGATTGTTTATTTTTCGTGTCAATCGTAAAGATTACTGAACTGGCAAAGCCGCACACTGTTGCACTATTTATGTAACCGTATTGTTACGTACGAGGTGGCCTCAACTAAAAGCCTGATGGTTTCTAGAGGTCACCTCGCCTCACATTAAAATATTTATGAATACTGTACATTAAGTAAAAAGGCAAAATAAACAGAATGAATTTATACACTCTTTTTCCATTATAAGTAATATATGAATATTGTTTTTCCGGCCGAGGCTGAATGTTTTTCTTTATATGCCGATTTCAGTTTGAAACCATTCTTTTGAATATTCTTTTGAATATTCTTAGATTATGGCCCTTGACGCTTCTGCTTTTGGATATATTTGGTGTCTGGATGGTGTTAGAGCAATTCTCAAGAACCCCATTATTAACAATAATTTTATTTCTTTTTCCAAACTAACGTTCTTTGCACACTGGCAACATTAACAACTTAATTTTGTTTGTTTGTTTAATGCTCTCTCTGTAAAGGGATTGTAAATAAAGGAATGCGAAAACTTCTACAATAAAGTAAATTAAAAGAGGTATGTTGGTTTACTGTGAAATTCAACCTTAACTGAATTACTCATGGTTGTGTGATAACGTAAAGGCTTCGGTCTCAACCAGAGAAGTCAGGATCTTTCGAAAATAGTACATCTGTGGATATGGCTAAAAATGGCAAAGTACATGTAAGGTGTAATGGTAAGCTTACAGTCATTGACTAGAATGGGCACAATAGGCCTTATTCATATTCCCAGTATTGAACTGGAACTAGCTTGCAATGGAGGCTCGTACGGCCGCATTTGTATTTGAAAGGACTCCCGGCCTTAGCCTCAATTGCAAGCTAGTTCCGGTTCAATACCGGGAATACGAATACGACCTATTCACGAAGGCGGCAATGTAAGTTGCCAACCCTGTAGCTAGAAAGCCCAGAGTATTAGCAGCTTCGGACAGCTTTTTCGGTCTTGTTGAGCTCAAGGCCCCTACCTACGCATTCTTTCATACTAAAATTATAAAAAGTGATGTGAAAATTGTACATTTGTGGAATATGGCTGAATATGAATGTGGAAAATGGCGAAGTATGTACAATGTAATGGTTAGCTCGCAGTCACAGAATGCCCACAAAGGTGACAATGGTAGAGGTCGTAAACCCTATAGCTAACTCAATAATCACATTAAGAAGTGATCCCAAAGCATTTGCAGCCATGAAGTGATGTACTCCACTGACCTTGATGTACAGGTCACACAGGTCTTGACTGCTAACTTTATTCGCAGGTTAAAGAGACGAGCTTGGAAGTTTTCTCTTGGACAATGTTGAACGCGTGAAGCATTCGACATTACCATTTTTGGAAAAGCGTTGGCGGTCACTGATATTGCCCACAGATTATAATTTTCCGAAGTCGTTAATTAAATTAATTATCTACTTGAGCTTGATGAGTCAAATTAAGAGTTATAATCAGCCCTGCGTTGTGTATTGCCAATTAAATGCCATGGTGAAATGAGGTAGAAATCCAGAAAAACACACGTACGTTGCGTCTTTGGCGGTGCACCTCAACTGACGTCTTTTCGCTTGGTTACTCTCGACC